CGCTGAGACCCGCTGAGACCCGCTGAGACCCGCAGAGACCCGCTGAGACCCACTGAGACCCGCTGAGACCCAGATGTAGTACATACTGTATGAACATGTAGCAGATGAATGAACAAAGTGCTAAAAGCTAAAGCTAACGTACAGCACTTAGCTTCCTCTGCTCATGAGCCTCACTCACTTCTCATTACACCACATTCTTCTGATTTAAAGTCAATACGGCTTTCATAGTCCAGACACCAGGGACCAGGACCAGAGAGCAGGACCAGAGAGCAGGACCAGAGAGCAGGACCAGAGAGCAGGACCAGAGAGCAGGACCAGAGAGCAGGACCAGAGAGCAGGACCAGAGAGCAGGACCAGGGAGCAGGACCAGAGACCAGGACCAGAGACCAGAGAGCAGGACCAGAGAGCAGGACCAGGGAGCAGGACCAGAGAGCAGGACCAGAGAGCAGGACCAGGGAGCAGGACCAGAGACCAGGACCAGAGACCAGAGAGCAGGACCAGAGAGCAGGACCAGAGAGCAGGACCAGAGAGCAGGACCAGAGAGCAGGACCAGAGAGCAGGACCAGAGAGCAGGACCAGAGAGCAGGACCAGAGAGCAGGACCAGGGAGCAGGACCAGAGACCAGAACCAGAGACCAGAGAGCAGGACCAGAGAGCAGGACCAGAGAGCCAGAGACCAGAGAGCAGGACCAGAGAGCAGGACCAGGGAGCAGGACCAGAGAGCAGGACCAGAGAGCAGGACCAGGGAGCAGGACCAGAGACCAGAGAGCAGGACCAGAGAGCAGGACCAGGGAGCAGGACCAGAGACCAGGACCAGAGACCAGAGAGCAGGACCAGAGAGCAGGACCAGAGAGCAGGACCAGAGAGCAGGACCAGGGAGCAGGACCAGAGACCAGAGAGCAGGACCAGAGAGCAGGACCAGAGAGCAGGACCAGAGAGCAGGACCAGGGAGCAGGACCAGAGACCAGAGAGCAGGACCAGGGAGCAGGACCAGAGAGCAGGACCAGAGACCAGAGAGCAGGACCAGAGACCAGAGAGCAGGACCAGAGAGCAGGACCAGAGACCAGAGAGCAGGACCAGAGAGCAGGACCAGAGAGCAGGACCAGAGACCAGAGAGCAGGACCAGAGAGCAGGACCAGAGAGCAGGACCAGAGAGCGGAAACACAGGCTTCAGCTCGAGGGGAACTGGCAACAACAGAGCGGCTGATATTAAAGTCTCCTTTAGCTCACGGAGTCACTGAGAATGAGGAAATTATTATTATTATTGTTATTATTGACAGATTCTGGGTCCAGGGCCGGGTCCAGGGCCGGGTCCAGGGCCGGGTCCAGGGCCGGGTCCAGGGCCGGGTCCAGGGCCGGGTCCAGGGCCGGGTCCAGGGCCGGGTCCAGGGCCGGGTACAGGGCCGGGTACAGGGCCGGGTCCAGGGCCGGGTCCAGGGCCGGGTCCAGGGCCGGGTACAGGGCCGGGTACAGGGCCGGGTCCAGGGCCGGGTCCAGGGCCGGGTACAGGGCCGGGTACAGGGCCGGGTACAGGGCCGGGTACAGGGCCGGGTACAGGGCCGGGTACAGGGCCGGGTACAGGGCCGGGTACAGGGCCGGGTACAGGGCCGGGTACAGGGCCGGGTCCAGGACTCAAAGAGTTGACTCTAACATAATACTTTCATGAAATACTGTCTTCTGGCGCAGACACTGAAGACCCCTGAGCTGAGACTGGTCTGTCCCTCACACAGGGGGGGGGGGGGGGGGGCCTTAAAGAATTCAATTCCATGTATTTGTGTCGGGCCCTAAATCACAGATTAGAAAATCAGTAGAAACACAGGAAATGCAACAATAACAAAGAGAGAGACATTGGTCCAAAGGGAGAGACCACTGTCCTTAGAACCTCCTGTATCAGAGAGCACCCCCCAGGAACTCAGAGGGAAAGAGTGAGAAACCTGAGAGAAAGAGTGAGAAACCTCAGTGAGAGTGGGATGTGTGTTCTTCAATATCAAAAGGGTCAAGACAGTGGCTTTTTTGCAGCTGTGGTCTCTCTCTCTGCTCTCTCTCTCTCTGCTCTCTCTCTCTGCTCTCTCTCTCTGCTCTCTCTCTCTGCTCTCTCTCTCTGCTCTCTCTCTCTCTGCTCTCTCTCTCTCTCTGCTCTCTCTCTCTCTCTGCTCTCTCTCTCTGCTCTCTCTCTCTCTTTGCTCTCTCTCTCTGGTCTCTCTCTCTGGCCGGCCTCCATGATGTCTGTCTCTGAAATCTGGGACACAGGGATTGGTCTGAGCGTTAATCTGAGCAGAGACGAGGAGCTTCCAAACGTCACAGTCGGAGCCTTTACAGTTTTGTCACAGTTTGTTGTTAAAAGTGGGAAAAGAAAGAGTTGAAACTACTTTCTGCATGAATCAAGTCAAAGAGCTGAGACCGGACCATAAACAAACAATAATATTAATATTAATATTAATAAAGCGTCGGTTTGATGCAGCGCTTTCAGACTCTCAAAGTCTCTTCACATCATTATTATTTCTTTCCAAACACAGCTGTAGCCACAGCTGCCCTGGGGCAGACTGACAGAAGCCCCTCCCACCCCCACCAACCACTCACACACACACCAGACTCATTCTAATGTGGGGGAAGTGTCTTGCCTAAGGACACAACCACAGTTTGGCACTTTACAGCCGCCCCACTGTGACTCCTGCCGTTCCCAGAGGAGTGTGAGGCCCAGAGGCACAAAGGCACAGGTACAAACTCCAAACACACGCTCCATGAAGGATTAGTCTGAGGTCACTACAACATCAAAGGATCTTGTACTTTTGACTTTGTCTGAAAAATTTGTCAAAAATCAAATGTTAAACAGTGACCTGTGTCTGACGAAACAAACTAATGAGACAGTACTGCTGTTGTACCAGAATACTACTACTACTATTACTACACAGTAGTACTGCGTAATTACCACTGGATACTACATAATAATAATAATAATAATACAAACATACTCCACTCCTGGACAAACTCCAGAGTCTGTGTCCTGTTAAAGTCAGTATCGATATGAGCTTAGCATCGATACATATCGACTTTCGATACTTTTGCAAAGCTCGTGGAGCTGCACGCGCACTCAGGACTAGAACCAGACTTTATAATCTCAGCAGCACAGGACATGACACACAGAAGTAACAGAAGTAACAGAAGTAACAGAAGTAACAGAAGTAACGAAGCCTTCTACATCCACAGACTGTAAATCAGCGTCACTGCACTGACCCAAGCTAACGCCCAGACCCGGACAAGACCTGGACCAGACCTGGACCAGACCAGACCAAGACCCAGACCAAGACCCAGACCAAGACCCAGAGCCTGACCCAGACCCGGCCCAGAGTCCGTCCAGCCCGTGCAGCAGCTCACACAGACACGGACACTCACCGTTCTCTGTCCGCTTTTGGACACTTTCTCCGGGAGAGTACCGCTGTCACCGCTACGGTCCGCCCACACTCTGCAGGATGCTAGGCTAGGCTAGGCTACGCTAGGCTAAGGGCTGCCAGGTCCGCAGGCGGCAACACGCCAACGGGCGTTTCTCTGTCAGAGAAAAGAGAGGACCACCTTCATTCAGCTTTTTGAGTCACACAAGGACTGTTTCTTACAAGCACAAGATACAGACACATTTCACTTCCACAAGTCTCACTATGGTAGGACCGGACCGGACAGGACAGGACCGGACAGGACCGGACAGGACCGGACAGGACAGGGCCGGACAGGACCGGACAGAGGAGTCAGGACCGGACTGAGGAGGTAGGACCGGACTGAGGAGTCACTGAGGAGTCAGGACCGGACAAAGGAGCCCCCCACCACGTCACAGGAGTCATGGACCCTCACAGAGGACAGACCCTCAGAGGACAGACCCTCAGAGGACAGACCCTCAGAGGACAGACCCTCAGAGGACAGACTCAGAGGACAGACCCTCAGAGGACAGACCCTCAGAGGACAGACCCTCAGAGGACAGACTCAGAGGACAGACCCTCAGAGGACAGACTCAGAGGACAGACCCTCAGAGGACAGACCCACAGAGGACAGACCCACAGAGGACAGACTCAGAGGACAGACCCTCAGAGGACAGACCCTCAGAGGACAGACTCAGAGGACAGACCCTCAGAGGACAGACCCTCAGAGGACAGACTCAGAGGACAGACCCTCAGAGGACAGACCCACAGAGGACAGACCCACAGAGGACAGACCCTCAGAGGACAGACTCAGAGGACAGACCCTCAGAGGACAGACTCAGAGGACAGACCCTCAGAGGACAGACCCACAGAGGACAGACCCACAGAGGACAGACTCAGAGGACAGACCCTCAGAGGACAGACCCTCAGAGGACAGACTCAGAGGACAGACCCTCAGAGGACAGACCCTCAGAGGACAGACTCAGAGGACAGACCCTCAGAGGACAGACCCTCAGAGGACAGACCCTCAAAGGACAGACCCACAGAGGACAGACCCACAGAGGACAGACCCTCAGAGGACAGACCCACAGAGGACAGACCCTCAGAGGACAGACTCAGAGGACAGACCCACAGAGGACAGACCCTCAGAGGACAGACCCTCAGAGGACAGACTCAGAGGACAGACCTCCAGAGGACAGACCCTCAGAGGACAGACCCTCAGAGGACAGACCCTCAGAGGACAGACCCACAGAGGACAGACCCACAGAGGACAGACCCTCAGAGGACAGATTCAGAGGACAGACCCTCAGAGGACAGACCCTCAGAGGACAGACCCTCAGAGGACAGACCCTCAGAGGACAGACCCACAGAGGACAGACCCTCAGAGGACAGACCCACAGAGGACAGACCCTCAGAGGACAGACCCTCAGAGGACAGACTCAGAGGACAGACCCTCAGAGGACAGACCCTCAGAGGACAGACCCTCAGAGGACAGACCCTCAGAGGACAAACCCTCAGAGGACAGACCCTCAGAGGATGCTCTGTTCTCCGTGTTTCTCTGTGGTATTTTTATTCTGACTTAAATCTCTTTTAAAGATGTATTTGTTAAATGTCTGTTCTTTAAAACCTGTGTCAGTGAATGTTTCAGATTACAACTGCTCCAACAATATTATTTTAGAACCCAAACTCGCTGATACAAACAGACCTGGCAACTCGACTCTCCCCAGTCAGTGCGACCCATGTCCCGCCCCCTGACAGCATGTCCATCCAATCACAGTACGATCCTGTAACAGACAGTCCGTTTGACCAATAGAATAAACAGACAGTGCTGATAGACCGATGCTGAGACCAATCAAGCTTTCTCAAACTTCTGCTGCGTTTAGAATAAAAATACACACGTTTCCGTTACTTTTATAATCTTTACATCCTAGAGATTAAACACTTCTATAAATGTCTTATTTTTCAGTTGAACAACGGTGGAGCAGCTCTGTCCCCTAAAAGAGTGTTTTAAGTTAAATAAAGGACTCTACGGGACGGTCCGCTCCAGTCCCCGGGGGAATGTGCTCTGGACCCGGCCACACAGCCCCGGGAGGACGCCGCCCTGTGGTCAGACCTGGAACTGTGACAAAGGGACAAGTGTCATGTGTGTTAAAGCAAAGAGCAGAGTGAAGTCCGCGCTGTCGCTGTGTCTCTGGTTTACAGCGACACCGTGTGGCGGAGGTCAGAACTGCAGGGTCTTCTGTGGATCATACAGCACACACTGTTCACGCAGACTTTACAGTCACTGTCAGACTGTAGCAAGAGTAATGTCACTGTCAGACTGTAGCAAGAGTACTGTCACTGTCAGACTGTAGTAAGAGTACTGTCACTGTCAGACTGTAGTAAGAGTACTGTCACTGTCAGACTGTAGTAAGAGTACTGTCACTGTCAGACTGTAGCAAGAGTAATGTCACTGTCAGACTGTAGCAAGAGTACTGTGACTGTCAGACTGTAGCAAGAGTAATGTCACTGTCAGACTGTAGCAAGAGTACTGTCAGACTGTAGTCAGACTGTAGTAAGAGTACTGTCACTGTCAGACTCTAGTAAGAGTACTGTCACTGTCAGACTGTAGTAAGAGTACTGTCACTGTCAGACTGTAGCAAGAGTAATGTCACTGTCAGACTGTAGCAAGAGTACTGTGACTGTCAGACTGTAGCAAGAGTAATGTCACTGTCAGACTGTAGTAAGAGTACTGTCAGACTGTAGTCAGACTGTAGTAAGAGTACTGTCACTGTCAGACTGTAGTAAGAGTACTGTCACTGTCAGACTGTAGTAAGAGTACTGTCACTGTCAGACTGTAGTAATAGTACTGTCTCTGTCAGACTGTAGTAAGAGTACTGTCACTGTCAGACTGTAGTAAGAGTACTGTCACTGTCGGACTGTAGTAAGAATACTGTCACTGTCGGACTGTAGTAAGAGTACTGTCTCTCTCAGACTGTAGTAAGAGTATTGTAAGACTGTAGTAAGAGTACTGTCACTGTCAGATTGTAGAAAGAGTACTGTCACTGTCAGACTGTAGTAAGAGTACTGTCACTGTCAGACTGTAGTAAGAGTACTGTCACTGTCAGACTATAGTAAGAGTATTGTCAGACTGTAGTAAGAGTAATGTCACTGTCAGACTGTAGTAAGAGTACTGTCAGACTGTAGTAAGAGTACTGTCAGACTGTAGTAAGAGTACTGTCACTGTCCGACTGTAGTAAGAGTACTGTCACTGTCACACTGTAGTAAGAGTACTGTCACTGTCACACTGTAGTAAGAGTATTGTAAGACTGTAGTTAGAGTACTGTCACTGTCAGACTGTAGAAAGAGTACTGTCACTGTCAGACTGTAGTAAGAGTATTGTCAGACTGTAGTAAGAGTAATGTCACTGTCAGACTGTAGTAAGAGTACTGTCAGACTGTAGTAAGAGTACTGTCACTGTCCGACTGTAGTAAGAGTACTGTCAGACTGTAGTAAGAGTACTGTCACTGTCACACTGTAGTAAGAGTATTGTAAGACTGTAATAAGAGTACTGTCACTGTCAGACTGTAGAAAGAGTACTGTCACTGTCAGACTGTAGTAAGAGTACTGTCACTGTCAGACTGTAGTAAGAGTACTGTCACTGTCAGACTGTAGTAAGAGTACTGTCAGACTGTAGTAAGAGTACTGTCACTGTCAGACTGTAGTAAGAGTACTGTCACTGTCAGACTGTAGTAAGAGTACTGTCACTGTCAGACTGTAGTAAGAGTACTGTCACTGTCAGACTGTAGTAAGAGTACTGTCACTGTCAGACTGTAGTAAGAGTACTGTCACTGTCAGACTGTAGTAAGAGTAGTCAGTGTCAGACTGTAGTAAGAGTACTGTCACTGTCAGACTGTAGAAAGAGTACTGTCACTGTCGGACTGTAGTAAGAGTACTGTCACTGTCGGACTGCAGTAAGAGTACTGTCCCTGTCAGACTGTAGTAAGAGTACTGTCACTGTCAGACTGTAGTAAGAGTACTGTCACTGTCAGACTGTAGTAAGAGTAGTCAGTGTCAGACTGTAGTAAGAGTACTGTCACTGTCAGACTGTAGTAAGAGTACTGTCACTGTCAGACTGTAGTAAGAGTACTGTCACTGTCAGACTGTAGTAAGAGTAGTCAGTGTCAGACTGTAGTAAGAGTACTGTCACTGTCAGACTGTAGTAAGAGTACTGTCACTGTCAGACTGTAGTAAGAGTACTGTCACTGTCAGACTGTAGTAAGAGTATTGTCAGACTGTAGTAAGAGTAATGTCACTGTCAGACTGTAGTAAGAGTACTGTCACTGTCAGACTGTAGTAAGAGTACTGTCACTGTCAGACTGTAGTAAGCGTACTGTCAGACTGTAGTAAGAGTACTGTCACTGTCCGACTGTAGTAAGAGTACTGTCACTGTCACACTGTAGTAAGAGTACTGTCACTGTCACACTGTAGTAAGAGTATTGTAAGACTGTAGTTAGAGTACTGTCACTCTCAGACTGTAGAAAGAGTACTGTCGCTGTCAGACTGTAGTAAGAGTATTGTCAGACTGTAGTAAGAGTACTGTCACTGTCAGAATGTAGTAAGAGTAGTCAGTGTCAGACTGTAGTAAGAGTACTGTCACTGTCAGACTGTAGTAAGAGTAGTCAGTGTCAGACTGTAGTAAGAGTACTGTTACTGTCAGACTGTAGTAAGAGTAGTCAGTGTCAGACTGTAGTAAGAGTACTGTTACTGTCAGACTGTAGTAAGAGTGCTGTCTCTGTCAGACTGTAGTAAGAGTACTGTCACTGTCAGACTGTAGTAAGAGTACTGTCACTGTCAGACTGTAGTAAGAGTACTGTCACTGTCAGACTGTAGTAAGAGTAGTCAGTGTCAGACTGTAGTAAGAGTACTGTCACTGTCAGACTGTAGAAAGAGTACTGTCACTGTCGGACTGTAGTAAGAGTACTGTCACTGTCGGACTGTAGTAAGAGTACTGTCCCTGTCAGACTGTAGTAAGAGTACTGTCACTGTCAGACTGTAGTAAGAGTACTGTCAGACTGTAGTAAGAGTACTGTCACTGTCAGACTGTAGTAAGAGTACTGTCACTGTCAGACTGTAGTAAGAGTACTGTCACTGTCAGACTGTAGTAAGAGTACTGTCACTGTCAGACTGTAGTAAGAGTAGTCAGTGTCAGACTGTAGTAAGAGTACTGTCACTGTCAGACTGTAGAAAGAGTACTGTCACTGTCAGACTGTAGTAAGAGTACTGTCACTGTCAGACTGTAGTAAGAGTACTGTCAGACTGTAGTCAGACTGTAGTAAGAGTACTGTCACTGTCAGACTGTAGCAAGAGTACTGTCTCTGTCAGACTGTAGTGAGAGTACTGTCACTGTCAGACTGTAGTAAGAGTACTGTCACTGTCAGACTGTAGTAAGAGTACTGTCAGACTGTAGTAAGAGTACTGTCACTGTCAGACTGTAGTAAGAGTACTGTCAGACTGTAGAGTACTGTCTCTGTCAGACTGTAGTAAGAGTACTGTCACTGTCAGACTGTAGTAAGAGTACTGTCACTGTCGTACTGTATTAAGAGTACTGTCACTGTCAGACTGTAGTAAGAGTACTGTCACTGTCGTACTGTATTAAGAGTACTGTCACTGTCAGACTGTAGTAAAGTAAAAGTACTGTCACTGTCAGACTGTAGTAAGAGTACTGTCAGACTGTAGTAAGAGTACTGTCTCTGTCAGACTGTAGTGAGAGTACTGTCACTGTCAGACTGTAGTAAGAGTACTGTCACTGTCAGACTGTAGTAAGAGTACTGTCACTGTCAGACTGTAGTAAGAGTACTGTCACTGTCAGACTGTAGTAAGAGTAGTCAGTGTCAGACTGTAGTAAGAGTACTGTCACTGTCAGACTGTAGAAAGAGTACTGTCACTGTCAGACTGTAGTAAGAGTACTGTCACTGTCAGACTGTAGTAAGAGTACTGTCAGACTGTAGTCAGACTGTAGTAAGAGTACTGTCACTGTCAGACTGTAGCAAGAGTACTGTCTCTGTCAGACTGTAGTGAGAGTACTGTCACTGTCAGACTGTAGTAAGAGTACTGTCACTGTCAGACTGTAGTAAGAGTACTGTACTGTCAGACTGTAGTAAGAGTACTGTCACTGTCAGACTGTAGTAAGAGTACTGTCAGACTGTAGTAAGAGTACTGTCACTGTCTTACTGTATTAAGAGTACTGTCACTGTCAGACTGTAGTAAGAGTACTGTCACTGTCGTACTGTATTAAGAGTACTGTCACTGTCAGACTGTAGTAAAAGTACTGTCACTGTCAGACTGTAGTAAGAGTACTGTCACTGTCAGACTGTAGTAAGAGTACTGTCACTGTCAGACTGTAGTAAGAGTACTGTCAGACTGTAGTAAGAGTACTGTCACTGTCAGACTGTAGTAAGAGTACTGTCACTGTCAGACTGTAGTAAGAGTACTGTCACTGTCAGACTGTAGTAAGAGTACTGTCACTGTCAGACTGTAGTAAGAGTACTGTCACTGTCAGACTGTAGAAAGAGTAATGTCACTGTCAGACTGTAGTAAGAGTACTGTCACTGT